TTCTGAAATATAGGAAAATTGCATTTCTTTTCAAAGCCTCTTTGGCATATGCAAAATTTTGCAGATAGCAGAAACTAGGACACAGGACCTGTTGGAGAGGCTATTCTTATATCTGAGGGAGGTGGGGAGCTCTTCTTCACCACTTGTTCTATGTTTGTTTTTCAGATATGGAAACCTGTGTCCTTTGTCCAGGACATCATTACCCAAACATATTCCAGAATCAATGCATCCCAAAGGAAACAAACTTCTTAGACTTTGAAGACACCTTGGCCATTATTTTGACTTCTACTGTTCTTTTATTGTCTCTGATAACAGCTCTGGTGTTAGGTCTCTTCTTCTGGAACAGGGACACTGCCATTGTCAAGGCAAACAACCGAAGCCTCACCTACATTCTTCTCATCTCCCTCCACCTGTGTTTCCTCTGTTCCTTCCTCTTCATGGGAAGGCCCAATAGGGTGTCCTGTCTTCATCAAACAGCTTTTGGCATGGTCTTCTCTATGTCAATCTCCACTGTCCTGGCAAAATCGGTTTCTGTGGTGCTGGCATTCATGGCAACCAAACCAGGATCCCAAAAGAGGAAGTGGATGGGGAGAAGACTGCCCTATTCCATTGTGCTCTGCTGCTCCAATATTCAGGCAGGGATCTGAGTTCTGTGGCTCACATGGTGTCCTCCTTTCCCAGATGTGGACATGTACTCTATGACTAAAGAAATTATCCTGCTCTGTAATGAAGGCTCACTCCTCATGTTCTCTTGTGTCTTGGGCTACATGGGTCTCCTGGCTCTGGTCAGTTTTGCTGTGGCCTTACTGGCCAAGAAGCTGCATGACAGCTTCAATGAGGCCAAGTTTATCACCTTCAGCATGTTGGTCTTCTGCAATGTGTGGGTGTCCTTTGTCCCAACATACCTCAGCACCCAAGGAAAGTACATGGTGGCCATGGAGATCCTCTCCATCTTGGCCTCCAGTGCTGGTTTACTGTGCTGCTTATTTTCCCCCAAATGTTAACATTATTGTGTTCAGACCAGACTTATTCATTATTTATTTATTAGACTAATTCATTTTTATTGATTTAATATGTATTTTGCACAACAGCATAAAGTACAGATAAAGAAATTCTGACTAAAGCTATGCAATCAGATTTACTATGCCAGCACTGTCAATCCAATCCATCTCTTCACCTAAGAAAATAAGTAGAGTAACCATTGAAGTCAGTCCTATGCACTGAATAAGCCACTCAACCTCTCTTCTTCCTCAGTCTCCTTTAAGCACCTCATGAACAAAGGTTGATTGCAGAAATTACAGGTGTTCTAGGAAAACTCCTCTCAGTTTCATCCTTGCTAGCATTCCTGAATGAAGAGTGTCAGCTGTGAGTCTGGTAGAGTTGATTCAGAAATTTGAACCTGTTAATTTAGGAATTGAACCTGAGTTTAACATTACAGTTTTGCATGCAATGTGCCAGGAGTGCAGCCTTTCCACCAAGATTTTGAATCAATCCAAGACCAAATTGTGACCAGGAACCACATAACACCCCATTGTGCTTGCACAACCCCTAGAAGCAGCCATAGGGAGTTTTGATAGGTTGTTGCCCACAAACAAGTCACCCAGTGTGAATTTTTCAAGGTACACATGACAAAAAGCCTCAGCATGTCACCCAGAGGTTGTCACAATGTAAACACAATCACTCATTATTTCTCTGTCTTGATTAACCCTTTTCCATGCTATCCATTGGACCTTTTCCAGGTTGACTGAGACTTGTTACTTAATGGCACTGAGGACTAGCATAGGCCAACTCCAAACTGTTTGATAGCACTTCTTAGAATCATGTGCACACACACCATATCACAAATACAACACCTTTCTCTTTTCATCACATATGCCATGATTCCATATTCCTTTAGCCTGGAAAGAATGTTCTTCTGTTCAGTTGCATTCTGCAGGCAATTGACATTCCAAGAAATCTGCTAAACCCTATTGCATCATTGTCCCTCTTGAAATTTAGAAGCTTCTTGGCCAGGGGGATGAAACCTGCCTGTCTTAGTGAGGCAGCAGTGACACCATGCCAAAGAAAAGAAGGGAGGAAACATGAAAAAGAAAACTAAAACCAAAACCAAAATAAAAACCCATTTCTTTCCAAACCCAAAATATCTCAGCTTTGCACCAGTGGCAAGAATTCTTTCTAAATCCTTCAGTGGGTGACTGATTGATGCTTAGCTCCAGGTACTCATATAGGAGAACGAATTTCATGATATATTTGAGTCAAATTTCAGGCCAATGTTTGTCACTGAAACACCAACATCTAATATAATGAGGGGGTTGTAGGTGATTATGACTCTTGATTCTTCTTGTCATGATGACTTTCAATATTGTTGATTTGTTCTCCTTCTGAGACCATTGGCTGTGTTGGGTCTGACTGACACTGCTCTCCTTTGGTTCCATTTCTACTTGGATGGTTAGCTCCAGAAGCTGTTTCACAGGGATGTCATCCAGCCCTGTGAAGTCAACAGTATCATGCTCCACAGGAGTCAACTCCAACCCTCATACTAGTTCACATCTGCATGGAAGCATGGAGAGATGTTTTTGAAGTACATTGCCATCATTTTGCTGATGATACACAGGTCTATTTCTCCCTGTTAGCCCACTCCCCCTTTAGTATTTCAGTCCATTTTCCTTTTCAATAGTTTTATGCTAGTGCTGTGTTTTCTGCTGATAAGAAAAATGTTGAGGCAGGGTTGTTTTGAGTGTCTTTTCTCAGCCAATCTGTGCTGGTGTGTTGTGGGGTTGGAGTGGGTGAAGTTCGTTATATTTCACTATTTAATGATATGAATATTACTGTATTAATTAACTTGGTTTGATTTTGTATAGCTCTGCCATTAATATAGCATATGACTGCTTTTATATGGATTTTGTTTTGCTATTGTACATTTTTGCACTAGCATTAATTTATTAAATATTGCCCTCCAAAATTTCAGTTGTATTCAATTATAGTTAATTTCAATATTTTATTCTTTTACTGGTGTTTTTACTGATGGTTTTTGGATCATTTTGAGAATTATCATTTTTTGATTTATATTTAAACATTAATATACAAAATAATATATTATGTATATAATGCAAAATAGCGTTGCGATTTTTGCCAGTTTCAAAAATGTTTTAAACCACTGCTGTGAGGAATGGATGAGAAGATGGTGGCTGTAATTTCTATTTATTTATATACTGTCTGCTTCTGAGGTTTCTGGGACTCAGTTTTCCCCATTGTGAGAACTCTGAAGTAGGTTTATTGCAAAGCAGTCTATGTGGGGGTCCTCCAAGATGGTATGGAAGCTTCATCCTGTGTCGACTTCAGTTCCCAGATGGATAGTGGGAATAAGAACCAAGAAGGTGTCACAACAAATCTGGCCAACTTGAACTGACAGATGGAATGTAATCAAGTCGAATTCAATATGCTGGTTTTAACTCACACATCTGTACAAGGGGGGGCAGAAAAGTCATGTCTATTCCAAGCGTACTTAATTTCACATGGATTTCTTTCTCTGAGTTAGCAGGCATAATCCTGAATGAACCTGCTTGGGTGAACTTCCAAAGCAAATCTCTTAGTTTCATTGAAAGTGATTGCACAGCAGCTTGTGCTAGACGAGCTTTCAAGGCTCCATCCAAGGTCATGATTCCATACTTTCCTTTTCACATTGCAGAAACAGGAAAAAGGAGGAGATAGCTGAAAGAAATACATTTGTGTTTTGCCCTGAAAGTTGACAGAGTTACTGAATTTGCATCATGGGGACCAAATGTGCACAACTTTTCATCAGTCATGTAATTATAAAAATTGCTGTAATTCACCCAACTCTTCAGGCAGTTGAACAAGCAGAAAAAACAGGAAGCAGGCAAGTGAGCCTTTTAAGTCTCCCTTCTGGAGCATGGAGTACTGAGATGTAGCAGAAGACAGAGGCTGAGCTCTGCCATTTTGATCACTTCCCCTTTCTCATTGGACCCACCTAGCTTTAATGAGGATTCTTGATTTGCTTCTGAAGCAAGATGTTGATACATTGCTGATCTTAGCAATGTATGTCTCCTAGGTTGCTTTCACAGACAGATTTCTCTTTAGCACACCTTGCTCAATTCACTCTCATTATAATAAAGTTGGTTCTATAGAGCGAGACAAAGAAGGCTTCCTGGGTGAGGACATTTTGTCAAAAAAGTCTGCAATTTCAGCTGCTACTCTTCCTAATTGTAGTTAGGAAGGTGAATCTTCTGATGTGCTCAGGAAATGAGCCTGTACATATTCCATATGACTGGTATGAGTCAGGAGATCTCCTCATTGGGGGGATGCCGTCTTCTATGCATTACTTTCCCAGCGGCACCAGCTTCATGAGACATCCTTCTCAAGAGAAGATTAAATTCACTGGGTAAGGCATTTTCCACCCAAGGCACCCTTGATACTGACTTGAACTGTCTTTTGTGGCTCTTCATTTTTAAATCAATAGCTGCCTATTTGGATTGTTTTGGAAGACTGGATTTTCAAGAAATAGAAATACAAAAGTGTGCCGCAGTGTCAGAAAGTCTGCCCATTTTCAAGACAGTCCAGTAACATGCACCAATGTAAAGGTACAAACCAGCAAAAAGAAACTATGCAGATCCTAATTTCAAAAGGTTTTAATTTTCTCAGTTCTCTAAGTATACACACACTGTTGAATCTTTCAGGTCTAAGTAATAATAACTAAATAATATCACTTTGTTTCTTTCTTTGCAGGTTCATGACAAAGTTCTACCAACACATTCTGGCTTTCGTATTTGCCATTGATGAGATCAATGAGGACACCAGGATCTTGCCCAACATCACCCTCGGCTTCCACATCCAGGAAAGCTACACAGATGCAAGGATGACCTATCGTGCCACCTCAGATTTGCTTTTCAGCACACATCAGTTTGTGCCCAACTACCAATTGTGGCATTGAAAAAAATATTATTGGCGTGATTGGTGCACTGAGCTTTGAAACTTCCTCATGCATGGCAGACATCCTGGGTCTTTACAAGATTCCACAGGTAATATCTGCACGAGTCAGTGAACCAGAATGGTCAGAAGGTTGGACTGAGATGCAGAAGATCCAAGTTCTTAACGACCTCTCAGTGGTGATTATAGGACATTCACTCCCATATTTCATGGGGTTCTAATAGCTAAGAAAAACAATAACCTGGCACTAAAGGCATTCCGCATAAGTTCTCCAATGCATTCCTTTCTTTCCAGGGGCAATTTGATGATCTGTCAGAATGAAGTGGAATAGAGGGAAGGGGTAAGAAAGGGAACTGAAAGCATAGAGTTGCATTCTGAGTGTCACATGTTTATCCAAATATGTGCATGTAGTGACAGATTTGATCAAGACTCTGGATTGGATCCAGGTCTTGTCAAGCCTGAAGTAGTCCTATTAACTTTTCTGGAAATCCTTTGGTTCGATCTTGAACCAACACTCGCTCTTTAATACAAATACGGGAGGATTCTTCCACTTGGAGCATTAATGATTTGAATGCATTTCTTCAGGATGCCTCTTCAAAGAACTGCAGACATAACTCATTAAGAAGCCTGGGAAAGATATCAAGTAGTTTCCATTAAAATCTGAAAGGAGTTGAAAGGACAACTGTGCCCATTGTCAGCACTGTTAAAATTGCCACCAATGCCAAATCTGTCAGTTGTTTGTGCCTACAATGGTCCAGGTGCCCTACACAACCATGCCAAATGCCAAATGAATTATTTCAATACGTAGTTTAAATCATTGTTCAAACAATACCATGTTAAAACAGCTGAAAGTTATATTTAGTGAATTCAGTTTTGGGACCAGGGAGGTTGAAAAATCCTTCTGTTCCCTTTCTAAAATTTCAGGCTTCCCCCTCTTCTTTCCTTTTTCCAAGCTTTCATATGGCTCATTCAAACCCATGAATGATCAGGACAATCTGCACTCCTTTTACCGCATGGTCCCCAGTGAAGCCCTGCAATACCAAGGACTTGTCCAGTTACTCCTCCATTTCCAGTGGATGTGGGTAGGGCTCATGGCTTCAGATGATGGTGGTGGAGACCAGTTCTTGAGGACTATGGAGCCACTGCTTTTGAAGAACAAGATCTGCTCAGAATTCACAAGAAGGGTTGGAATATCTTTGCATATAAGTGAAAAGATAGAGGACATTGTTCATACAGTATGGAATCATGTGGAATACATAATGGGGAGAAAAGCCAATGCCATTGTAATCCATGGTGAAGCATCAGCCATTGCATGGTTGGAATGTCTTTTAACTGCAAGCACTTTTGCTCAGCAAGTATTTCCTCAGTATAAGGGGAGGTTCTCCTCAGCAAAAGTGTGGATAACTACAGCTCAAATTGACTTCTTTGTAAGTGGCTTGGTAATGCGTACTGGATTTGACATGCAAATGTTCCATGGTGCCCTCTCTTTTACCATTCCTTCCAAGGAACCTGAAGGCTTCCGAGGATTTCTTGAGCTTGTCAGTCCTTCTTGGGACAATGAAGATGGCTTTATTCATGACTTTTGGGAACGTGCTTTTCTTTGTGCATTTTCAAACTCCATTGTTACTTTTCTACGTGGAACATGTACAGGAAATGAGAGTTTGGAGAGCCTTCCTCGGTCTGTTTTTGAATTACACATGAGTGGTCACAGTTACATTGTCTACAATGCGGTCTACACAATCGCTCATGCCTTACACAACTTGCACTCAGCTACACCCAACTACCAAAGAACCGCGAGTAGAGACAGGGCATCTCCTCAGGTTGTACGTTCCTGGCAGGTAACGTTCGTGACTTTTAAGAGCCAACTGACATCACTTAGAAATTAGAAGGTGTGAAACTTTCATTATTCATTGCTTATTGCACCGTGCAAAAGCAACCAATCCATGCCATAAAAATCAAGAACATGAAAAACAAGCGCAGAAATATAAGATTGTAGTTTTCCCTTATTTTTAGGAAAGAAAAGGATCTTTACCTGTCAAAAGGGTGAGCAAAATCTATTTATGTGATGTTGCTTTAGTTTCCATGAGAAGGGTAGGTAATAATAATTTTACAAAGCATTTTCATAGAATAAATTTATGCGATTTTCGAGTACCTGGTTCTCTACAGCTATAACTCTTAGACCCTAAAAGCAAAATTGCATCATATTAATCCTGCAGCTCATACTGAGGTGAAGCATTTTATCATTACTAGGGCTTCCTGTCCATTGATGGTATATTGAATGCATCCCTCTAAAACCTTTCCTCTACCATTAATCTACACCTCCATCAGTACAGCTAGTAAAATAAAAAGCCCCCCAAAAAACAAAGATGAAAAATGGTGCCAGTGCAATGCATTTTGAACATATTCTTTCATTAGCAGTGGGAAGTTAATTCTTGAACCTGCCACTGCAAGTAAATGTTTGTGTTATTTATATAGTTATTGTTATTATTCCTGCCATCACTTTATAATATATGTAATAGCACTTTTACATTCCACATGTAGAAGCAGTCTTATGTAGACTAGATCATGTGAATTCTCAATGGAATTCACAACTACTGATTTTAAAGGGGGGAAAGTCAGACAACTCCCACCATCCTCCAAGTGATCAACTCAGGGGGGAGAATGTCATGAGCTGTAGGGAGTTTCCTTTCAAAACATGTATACAATTGCAGCTGAACTGTGGCAAAACCTGGATCCAGTCAATATGTGTGTAGCCATGTTTGTTCTTGGATGATATTCCTGGAAGTTCTCGGGACAATGCTTTCAACTGTGGGATTCTTGTTGATGCATAATCTGCTTTCAGTGATTCATGTATCTGTTTCCTAAAGAGGAATGCTCCCCCTTCTCCACATGCTACTTACATATTGTGAATGCGAATATCACAACTCTTGTACCATTTGATTTTCTTTGTCGCTTGTTTAGCTGCATGCCTTCATTCAGAAGACCTCATTCAACAACAGTGCAGGAGAGGAAATTGCGTTTAACGAAGATGGAGAGTTCGAAGGGAGATTTGATATTACCAACTTGGTCACTTTCCCTAATCAGTCCTATGTCAGGGTCAAAGTGGGAAGAATGGACCATGATGTTCCTGCAAGCAAAGGATTCACCATTAATGAGGACAAAATCAAATGGAACAAGCAACTGAAGCAGGTGGGAAACAATGGCATTTCCTTATTTTCTCACTTTTAAAAACTATTAATATTAATAGTAAAATGTTACAGAAGAGTAAAAATGCAAAATACATCATAAAATAGAAGAAAAAACTACACAAGATACCAGAAAATCTACACACACGAACACAAGAACTCACACATTGGTACACCCCTCCACTGGGACCATTGGCTGTATAATATTTTTTTCTTTCTTCTTCCTTGCTTATTGCTCTAACTTTCCACTCTTTCATGAATACACATCTCCATCTAAAATTGCATTAAACCAGATGGTTTAATACTCTTCCCTTTTTTTACTACATATTCAATAGAGAAACCTCATATATCATTAAAAACATTCTTCTTTATCAATCCTTTTTTCACCCTAATCCCACACATCAATTTATCATTAGCAGCTATGTTCCAATCTTTGTTATACCATTCAATTAAATGTAGATCCCGTTTCCCCTTCTAATTCTTTGCCTCTATCAGTTTTGCTTGTGTTGCCAACTGTTTTATTAATTCTTCAATATTGTGTTTTCCCTTTTTTGCATAAAATGCTATTTTATGATCTACTTCAATGTATCAGTTCAATATTTCACTAATTTCCTTAAAAAAAAAACTTATCCAAACTTTCTTACTATTTTCACAATCGCACCGCATATAGAAATAGATTCCCATATTTGCCCACATCTCTAATGTTAATTATACTATTTATTATTCATATAGAATCATTTTACCAGCCTCAGGTACCATGCCCATATTAATTTAGAAATATTAGTTTCCATAAGTATAATTGACATACTTAAAAAATTCTCTTATCCCATACTTCCCTGTCTATATCCTTCCCTAAATCCATTTACTATGTGATTTTAAAAACATCATGTATGTCTTCCTTGTCTAGTAAAATCTTCTATACCTCACTTATAACTCCCCTTGTTTACATAGTACCTTGAGTCTCCCTATGTGTCACATTGTCATCAAATTTGGTGTGGTCTCTACATTTACCATTTTTCTTCAACCATTCCCTAGTCCATTGTTCCAATTGCATAACATTAACCTAGGTCAGTTTTTCTTTCCCAAATACTGCCATTATCCTTTTCTTATCATCCTTTTATTTTTCTTTAAAAAGGTTATTTTTTTCTTATGAAGGTGATTGTACTGGAAGACATTACATTTGAACATGCAGTCTGTAATACTAATCTTGCAAAAAATGACTTTTTTTTTATCTAATTCAGATATTTTTGTTGCCTGATGATCCAATTGTATGGTATTCTAAAACACTACTTCCTCTGTTTCTTGAAGTCTTTTGTCCACAGCCAATATTTGTTTCTCCAATATTCGGAAAAAAATCCTCTTTAATTTGAATGAATATATTTTGAGATTTGCATTCTCCATCGCCTTTCAGATCTTTAATTAAGTTCTTTAATTCTTTATTGTTCTTTCCTAATACTTTTGTGACTTTTGAGAGGCATCAACTACCTTCCCAGTATTTTCTGCTTCCTTCTCTCTGTTGTCCCCAACTGCTCCTCTGTCGGATTCTTTACCAGATTCTTTATCAGACTGATTAACAGAACGTTTCAACTTGAAAAGACTGAAATCAGGCAGAATTGATGGCTCAATTTATGGGATAATGTAACCCTAACCCTAACTGCCTATTGTTACATTCATTGAAGAACAGGTACAAAGACACGTATCCTTGTGAGAGTGATTTCTGAGTTGGTTCTTCCACTGACCAGGCCAAGAAAAAAAATGCTTATATTCCAGAATTCAGGAAATGCTTAGGAAGCTCCTCCTCCCTGACGTACACTGAGAAATCAAATATTCAGTATCTTGGGCCTTACAGATCATTGACAGCACCATCGACATGCAATGCCTTCCTCAAATGTCTCCTTCACATGACTTGCCTCCAACAGGTGCCTCCTGTATCTTCATGTAATGAAAAATGCCTCCCTGGTTCCAGCAAGAAAAAGAAGGAGGGGAAGCCATTTTGCTGCTACGATTGTGTTCCATGTCCAGATGGGATGTTTTCAAACCAGAAGGGTAGGGGATAGATTAAAAGCAATGCAGAATGGAAGAAAGTCATTGAAAGTTTCTCTTGCCAATGTTTATGCAGACCTTGCTTCCTTGCTTATCTGTTCTCAGTCAACATGTATTGAACAAAAGAACTCAATATACAAATGTAAAAACATAGTAAATGAGGAAGAGAAAACAAGGGGAAAAAACAAGAGACTGACTTATGAACAGAAGCACAAAAAATATGCTTGACTGAGGAGTGGTCGGAAAGATTCATCATCATGACCAAGATTTTCCAAACTCTCGAAGGGTCTTCACCCATTTTATGGCATTATACTCAAAAAGATAGCAAAATATTTAAAAAACCACCTTTCTGCAAGTAGAAAAAATTGCTTTTTTAAAATCATATTTGGCATATGCATAATATTGCAGAGAGGAGAAACTAGGACACAGGACATTCTGGAGAGGCTATTCTTAAACTGAGGGGTGTGGGAGCTCTTACTAATCAATTCTTCTATGTTTGTTTTTCAGATATGGAAACCTGTGTCCATTGCCCAGGGCATCAATATCCAAACCAATTCCAGAATCAGTGCATTCCAAAGACTCCAAACTTCCTCGCTTTTAAAGACACCTTGGCCATTATCTTGACTTCATCTCTTCTTTCATTGTCCCTGATCACAGCTCTGGTGCTGGGCCTCTTCTTCTGGCAAAGGGACACTGCCATCGTCAAGGCCAACAACCGAAGCCTCACCTATATTCTCCTCATCTCCCTTCTCTTCTGTTTCCTCTGCTCCTTCCTCTTCATGGGAAGGCCCAATACTGTGTCCTGCCTTCTTCGACAAACGGCTTTTGGCATGGTCTTCTCTGTGTGCCTCTCCACCATCTTGGCAAAAACGGTTTCTGTGGTGCTGGCATTCATGGCTACCAAGCCAGGATCCCACATGAGGAAGTGGGTAGGGAGAAGACTGTCACATTCCATTGTGCTCTGCTGCTCCAATATTCAGGCAGGCATCTGCATTCTGTGGTTGACATGGTCTCCCCCTTTCCCAGATGTGGACATGCGCTCCATGACTGAAGAGCTTGTCCTGCTCTGTAATGAAGGCTCAGTCTTCATGTTCTACTGTGCCTTGGGCTACCTGGGCCTGCTGGCTTCAGTCAGCTTTTTGGTGGCCTTCCTCGCCAGGAAGTTGCCAGACAGCTTCAATGAGGCCAAGTTCATCACCTTCAGCATGCTGGTCTTCTGTAGTGTGTGGGTGTCTTTTGTCCCAACATATCTGAGCACAAGAGGAAAGTACATGGTGGCCGTGGAGGTCTTCTCCATCTTGGCCTCCAGTGTGGGCTTATTGGGCTGCATATTTTCCCCAAAATGCTACATTATTGTGTTCAGACCAGACTTGAACAACAGGGAGCAGTTAATGAGAAGAAAGAAGTAAATATTAGGAGAACTGAGGTTCTTGCTGATGTACTCTGCATCCTGCACGAAAGCATAAGAATGGGATAAAGGAATTCTGACGAAAGCTGTGCAGATTTACATTGTAGTCACTGTAAATTCAATCCTTCTTTTCACATAAGAAAATAAGTAGAGATGAACCAATGAATTTAGGGAAGCAAGCTCACCTCTGGTCTTGGGGTCTGTTCCTTACTACCTAAAAATCCAATGCACTGAATAAGACACTCAACCTCCTTTCTCCTTCCTCAACCTCCTAGGAAAACTCCTCTCAGTTTCAACCTTGCTACCTGTCCATTCATTGCTGCATGAAAAGGGTCAGGTGAGAGTCTGGTGAAGCTGACTCAGACATTTCCACCTGATAATTTAGTAACTTAACATGTGTTCAATTTTGCAGTTTTGTAAGAGAGCACACTGGGATTGCAGCCTGACCAATCAGGATTTGAATCAGTCCAAGACCAAGCTATGATCAGGAACCCCCCACCCCTTGAGCTTCAATAATTCCTAAAAGCAGCTGTAGGGAGTTGTAATAGGTTGTTGCCCACACACAAGTCACGCAGTGTGAATCTTTCAAGGTACACATGACACAAAGACTCAGCATGTCATTTCATCCAGAGAGGGTTGTCACAATGTAAAATGCAATCACTCACCATCCCTCTGTCTTCATTAAACCTGTTCATGCATGCTGTTGGACTGTTTCCAGGGTGACTGAGAATTACTGGCACTAAAGATTGACATGGGTGAAGTGCAACCTGTCTGAGAACACTATTTAGAATCATGTGTGTTTCCGTGTGTGCATGCACACACACTCACACACTATATCAGAAACAGAATCTTTTCTCTTGCCATCACAGATGCCACAATTCCATATTCCTTTAGCCTAGAAAGAATGTGCTTCTGTCCAGTTGCATTCTGCAGTCACTTGACATTCCAAAAAATCTGCTAAACAGAGAAGTCCATGCTTCAACAAATTTGTGCAAAAGTTTTCCTATTGGAGCATTTTCCCTCTTGAAATTGAGAAGCTTCTTGGCCAGAAGGATGGTCCCTGTCTGTGTGAATGAGGTCGCAGTGACACCATGCCAAAGAAAGGAAGGAAGGAAACATGAAAAAGAAAACAAAAACAAAAATTAAAACCAATTTCTTTCCAGATGTGAAATATCTCAGCTTTGCACCAGTGTCAAAAATTCTTTCCTAGATCCTTCAGTGGGTGACTGATGCTTACTTCCAGATACTCATGCACAAGACTGAATTTCATGATATATTTGTGCAATGGTTCAAGCCACTTTTTCTCACTGAAACTGCAAGGTCTTCTTCTAGAATAAGGGACATGTGGGAGATTATGACTTTTGATTCTTCTTGTCATGGTGACTTTCAATATTGTTGATCTGTCCTTTTGAGACTATTGGCTGTGTTGGGACTGGCTGGCACTGCACTCCTTTGGTTGCATTTCTACTTGGATGATCAGCTCCAGAAGCTGCTTCACATGGAAGTCGTCCAGCCCTGTGAAGTCAACAGTACCAGGTTCCTCAGGAGTCAACCCTATCCCCTATCCATTTCACATCTGCATGGAAACGTGGGGGGAGGTCCTCAGGTTTTTGCTGATGATACACTGGTCTATGTCTCCCTGTTAGTGTATTTCCTCATTAGTATTCCAGTCCATTTTCCTGTTCAATGTTCTTAGTTTTATACTAGAGGTGTCACTTACTTTGGCAAGGTTCAGTGCTAAGTCTAGGCAGCTCAGGAATTAAACTGGTTTCATTCAGACTGAGGCGCGAAGATAACTGTGCTTTGTCCCTCCTTTCCTTTTCCTGTCTCTTCTACCAAGAACCCCAAAACTAACTGGAACTTCCATTTCATTTTATCTAGATATTGTGAGGCAGTGTTTTTCACCTCCAGTTGTGGAGCAGCACCAGTCTGCCAGCATTTACTTCTGGTCTGTTGTGTTTGTACACACCAGCCACATCCTGCTCGCCACAAACCAGTGTGGGGCTAGCTGTGTCTTCCCTGCTGATTCACTATCTCTTCCTTGGCAGAGGAGGGAAGTGAGGGGAGGGACTGCTCCATATGAGTCAGTTGGGAGCATCAGTGTGCCGGGTCCACCATTTTGGCAAGGCTGCAAAGACTGGGCCTTTTTCTGCTTTGTTTTCTGCTGATAAGGGAAATGTTGAAGCAGGATTTTGTTGAGTGTGTTTTCTCAGTAAATTTATGCTGGTGTGTTCTGGGGTTGGAGTGGGTGAGCTTCATTGTATTTCATCATTTAACATTGTGAAAATTATTGTATTAATCATCTTGGTTTGCTTCTGTATTGCTCTGCCATTAATATAGTATATCACTGTTTTTATATGGATTAGTTTAGCTATTGTAAATTTTTGATTAAGTAGTCTTGAAAAGAAGCCAATCCAGATTTTGCTCTAGCCTTGTTTGATTAAATTTTGCACTCTAAAAATTTCAGTTGTATTTGATTACATTTAATTTCAATATTTTATTCTTTACTAGCATTTTTGCTGCTCAGTTTTGGGTTGTTTTGGGAATTATCATTTTTGGTATTGTATTTAAAAATCAATAAACAAAATAAAATGCCTGTAATGTAAAATACGGTTCCTATATTTGCCGGTCCCCAACTGTGAAAAGGTTGACATCCACTGCCATGAGGAATGGATGAGAGGATGGTGGTAGTTTTAATGTATTTAAACCATTTTTATACTGTCTCTACTGAGGTCTCTAGGACTCACTTTTCTCTATTGTGAGAACAGTGAAGTAGGGTTCTTGCAAAACACTCTACATGGGATGGTCTGTGTAATGAAAAATGCCTCCCAGGTTCCAGCAAGAAAAAGCAGGAGGGGAAGCCATTTTGCTGCTACGATTGTGCTCCATGTCCATCGGGGATGTTTTCAAACCAGAAAGGTAGGGCACAGATCAAAAGCAATGTATGTTACAGCAGAAGGGAAGACATTCACTGAAAGGTTGTTTGCCAGCAGTTACGCAGACCTTGCTTGCCTGCTTACCTGTTCTCAGTCACCATGTACTGAAGGAAAGACATCAAAATACAAATATTAGAAGATTGTAAATGAGTAAGAGGAAACAAGGAATAGAAAACAAGAAACTGACTTATGAACAGAAGTACAAAGAATAAGTTTGATTGAGGAGAGGTTGGAAAGATTGATCATAATGACCCATGTCACCCCAAAGGTTGTGCAACCTCTCCAAGAGGTCTTCACTCATTTCATGCCATTATACATTAAAAGATGGCAAACATCCATTCTGCAAGTAGAAGACAATTGCTTTTTTAAAAGCATCTTTGGCACATACATAATTTTGCAGATGGGAGAAACTAGGACACGGGACCTTCTGGACAGGCTATTCTTAAATCTGGGGGGTGTAGAAGCTCTTCTTCATCTATACTTCTATGTTTGTTTTTCAGATATGGAAACCTGTGTCCATTGCCAATGGCATCAATATCCAAACCAATTTCAGAATCAGTGCATTCCAAAGACTCCAAACTTCCTCGCTTTTGAAGACACCTTGACCATTATTTTGACTTCTTCTCTTCTTTTATTGTCTCTGATCATAGCTCTGGTGATAGGTCTCTTCATCTGGCACAGGGACACTGCCATTGTCAAGGCCAACAACCGAAACCTTACCTACATTCTCCTCATCTCCCTTCTCTTCTGTTTCCTCTGCTCCTTCCTCTTCATGGGAAGGCCCAATACTGTGTCCTGCCTTCTTCGACAAACGGCTTTTGGCATGGTCTTCTCTGTGTGCCTCTCCACCATCTTGGCCAAAATGGTTTCTGTGGTGCTGGCATTCATGGCTCCCAAACCAGGATCCCAGATGAGGAAGTGGGTAGGGAGAAGACTGTCACATTCCATTGTGCTCTGCTGCTCCAACATTCAGGCAGGCATCTGCTTTCTGTGCCTGACATGGTCTCCCCCTTTCCCAGATCTTGACATGCACTCCATGACTGAAGAACTTGTCCTACTCTGTAATGAAGGCTCAGTCTTCATGTTCTATTGTGTCTCGGGCTACCTGGGCCTGCTGGCTTCAGTCAGCCTTTTGGTGGCCTTCCTCGCCAGGAAGTTGCCAGACAGCTTCAATGAGGCCAAGTTCATCACTTTCAGCATGCTGGTCTTCTGCAGTGTGTGGTTGTCCTTTGTCCCAACATACCTGAGCACAAGAGAAAAGTACATGATGGCTGTGGAGATTTTCTCCATCTTGGCCTCCAGTGCTGGCTTACTATGCCGCATCTTTTCCCCCAAATGCTATATTATTGTGATTTGACCAGAATTGAACAACAGGGAGCAGTTAATGAGAAGAAAGAAGGAAACATTAGAGGAACTGATGTTCTCTCTGATTTTCTCTGCATCCTACAGAAAAGCATAAGAGTGGGATAAAGGAATCCTGACTAAAGTGTCTAATCAGATTTGCCATGTGTTTGTTGTCAATCCAATCCTTCTCTTCACATCAAAAATAAGTAGAGAGGACCCAATGATCACAGTCCTTTTGTCAGAGAAGAATTCACTCTCCAGTTCTTGGATTGTCAATTCCATAGTAGCCCAGCATCCAATGAACTGAATAAGACTTTCAACCTCCTTTCTTCTTCTTCTGCCTCCTTGAAGCACTTCATGAGCTAAGGATGATCACAGAATTTATAGATGCTCTAGGAAATCTCTCAGTTTCAGTCCTACTTGCATTGCTGCATGAAAAGAATCACATGTGAGAATGGTGGTGCTGACTCAGGAATCTGCACTTGTTATTTTAATAACTGAACCTGAGTTTAAATATGCATTTTTGCAATGCAGTGCACCAAGCATTTCAGTATCATCAATCAGGATTTAAAGCAAATCAGGCCAAACCCACGACCAGGAACAACACAACCCATTGTGCTTAGAGAACACCTAGAACCGAGGTCTCAATCTCGCTGCCCGCGGCCCAATTGCCGGGACGGGCGGGGCACAGGGGAGGGGCCCTACAGCCTTCAAAGCGCCGGTGGCACCCGGGCTGGCCTCTGGATGAGCGGCCCACCGGCACTGCGGTGGTGGAATGCTTGATGCAGCCCAGCCTCACCCAGACTCTACTTCCAGCAGCCCCCAGGTAAGTTGAGTTTGAGACCACTGCCCTAGAACCAGCCATAGGAAGTTGTGATGGGTTGTTGCCCCAAAACAGGGCACTCTGCATGAATCATTCAAAATCCCTCTGACACAGTGACTCAGCATGTATTGTCATTAAGAGTGGGTTCTCATGATGAAAACACATAATCTCTCATTATCTCTGTCTTGATTGAACCGGTCCCATGCTGACCAGGTTGTCTGAGACTTGTTACTCACTGGCACTGAGGATTGTCATAGGCAAAGTGCAAGCTGTCTGAGAGCACTTCTTAGAAATATGTGCACACATGTGTGCTCACACACAAACACACAATATGTTGTTTATCTATGTTGTAAGCCGCCCCGAGGCTTCGGCGAATGGGGCGGCATAAAAATGTTTTAATAATAAATAATAATAAATAAATAATATCACAAAGACAATGTAATTCTCTTGCCATCAAATACACCACGATTCCACATTCCTTTAGCCTAGAAAGTATGTTCTTCTGTTCAGTTGCATTCTGCAGTCATCTGCTAAACCTGCAAGTCCTAAGCTAAGCTTGCATCATGGAGATCAAATGTGCACAAATTTTCATCAACCATGTAATTATCAAAAATGCTGTAATTCGTTCAACTCTTCAGACAGTTGAACAAGAAGGAAAATTAGGAAGCAGGTCTGCAAGCTATTTAGGTCTCCCCCTGGAGCATGGAGTGCTGCGATGAAGCAGGAGACAGAGGCTGAGCCTTGCCAGTTTGATCAGCTCCCCCGTTTCACTGGAACATTCTAGGTGCAAATGTGGATTCTGGATGTGCTTGAGGAGCAAATGTTGATACATTGTTGATTGTGGCAATGTATGTCTCCTTTGCTCCTTGACACTTTTCTCAATTCACCTTCAGGATAGTAACTTTCTTGTTGTAGAGCAAGTAAAGGAAGGATTCATGTGTGGGGAGAGTTTGCCGAAAGAATGATTCTGCTATTCCAGCAGCTACTGTTCCTAATTGCAGTTCAGAAAGTGTATACTTTGAAATGAAAAGGAAAGGAACCTGTGCATATTCCACACAACTGGTATGAACACGGAGATCTACTCATTGGGGGGATGGCATCTTCAATGCATTACCTTTCCCACAGCATCCCGTTCATGCGACACCCTTCTAAGGAGAAGATTACCTTCCCAGCGTAAGCTTGACATGGACTTAAACTACATTGAGTGGCTCTTTATTTTTAAATCACTATCTGCCTATATGGATTGCTTTGGGAAAGACTGAATCTTCAAAAATAAAAATACTGAAAGTGTGCTGCAGTGTCAGAAGACCTGCCCAGCTTTCAGACAGTGCATTAACATTCATGAATTTAAAGAGAAAATCCTGCAAAAATATGCTATGCAGCTATTAATTTCAAAAGGGTTTATTTTTCTTTTAACTTTGCTGGCTCAGCTCCCTAAGCATGTACGTGCTGTTCAATCTTTCAGTGGGAGTTACAGTGGAATAGGCATTTGATTACATGATTTTGTTGCACCCTGTACCTTTTCAGTGAAACCGCATGCCACTGCTTTCTTTGCAGGTTCATAACAAAGTTCTACCAACACATCCTGTCTTTTGTATTTGCCATTGACAAGGTCAATGAGGACCCCAGCATCTTGCCCAACATCACCCTTGGCTTCCACATTCGGGAAAGCTACAATGATGCAAGGATAACCTACCGCACCACCTTAGATTTGCTTTTCAACACACATCAGTTTGTGCCCAACTACCAATGTGGCATTGAAAAAAATATTGTTGGCATCATAGGTGCATTGAGCTTTGAAACTTCCTCCTGCATGGCAGACATCCTAGGTCCTTACAAGATTCCACAGGTAGGAAATGCACATGGGCCGGTGTGCCAGAGTGGTCAGAAGGCTGGACTGAGAGGTACGAAACCCAAGTTCTAATGCCCCTCTGCGAGATGACTATGGGACAGTCACTTACATATTTCATGGGGTTCTAATAGCTAAGGAAAACAATAACCTGGCACTAAAGGCATTCCGCATAAGTTCTCCAATGCATTCCTCTCTTTCCAGGAGCAATTTGATGATCTGTCAGAATGAAGTGGAATAGAGGGAAGAGGTAGGAAAGGGAACTGAAAGCATAGAGTTCCTTTTTGAGTGTCACATGTTTATCCAAAGATGTAAATGTTGTGACAGATTTGACCAAGACACTGGATTGGATCCAGGTCTTGTCAAGCCTGCAGTAGTCCTATTAACTCTTCTGGAAATCCTTTGATTCGACCTTGATCTCACACTAGCTCTTTAATACACTTACTGGCGGATTCTTCTAGTTGGATCATTAATGAATTGGACACATTTCTTCAGGATGCTTCTTCAACTAACTGTAGGCTTAACTCATTAGGAACCCTGGGTAAGGTAAAAAATTAGTTTCCATTAAAGTCTGAAAGGACTTGAAAGGACAACTGTGCCCATTTACAGAACTTCCTTGACTTCCAGCTATGCCAATGCTATCAGTTATTTTCTGCGTACAATGGTCCAGCTGCCCTGCATCATCCATTTCAAATGTCAAATGAATTATTTGAATACTTTGTTAAATCATTGTTCATACAATAACTTGTTTCAGCAGCTGAAGCTTTTAAATAGTGAATCCAGTTTTGGGACCAAGGAGGCTGAGAAATCCTTCTTTTCCCTTTCTGAAAGCTCAGCCTTTCTCCTCTTCTTTCCTTTTTCCAAGCTTTCATATGGCTCATTCAAACCCATGAATGATCAGGACAATCTGCGCTCCTTTTACCACATGGACCCCAATGAAGACCTGCAATACCAAGGACTTGTCCAGTTACTCCTCTATTTCCAATGGACGTGGGTAGGTCTCATGGCTTCAGATGATGGTGGTGGAGACCAGTTCTTGAGAACCATGGAGCCACTGCTTTTGAAGAACAGGATCTGCTCAGAATTCACAAGAAGTGTTGCAATAACTTTGCATATAAGTGAAAAGATAGAGGACATTTTTCGTACACTATGGAATCATGTGGAATACATAATGGGGAGAAAATCCAATGCCATTTTAATCCATGGTGAAGCATCAGCCATTATATGGTTGACAAGTCTTCTCTTGGCAAACACTTTTGCTCAGCAAGTATTTCCTCAGTATAAGGGGAGGCTCTCCTCATCAAAAGTGTGGATAACAACAGCTCAGATTGATTTCTTTATAACTGGCTTGGGAACACTTAGTGGATTTGACATACAACAGCTCCATGGTGCCCTTTCCTTTGCCATTCCTTCCAAGCAACCTGAAGGCTTCCGAGAGTTTCTTGAGCTTGTCAATCCTTCTTGGGATAATGACGATGGCTTTATTCATGAATTTTGGCAATGTGCTTTTGCTTGTTCATTTTCAGGATCCATTGTGATTTTCCTAGGTCGAACATGTACAGGAAATGAGAGTTTGGAGACCGTTCCTCGGTCTGTGTTTGAATTGGAGATGAGTGGCCACAGTTACAGTATCTACAATGCAGTCTACACTCTTGCTCATGCTTTGCACAACTTGTACTCATCTACACCCAACCACAGAGGAACAGTGAGTGGAGACAGGGCATTTCCTGAGGTTGTACATTCCTGGCAGGTAACTTTGCTGACTGTCAAAAGTCAATGGTCATCACGTAGAGATTAGAAGGTGGTGTGAATGTTTATTTATGTATTGTTTATTGCACTATGCAAAAGCTACGATCCATGCCATGACAATAAAGAAAAAGTAAAAAAAAAAAAAGAACAAAAATAAAGCATTGAAGATTCTTCCACAGTTTCAGGAAAGAAAAGTTTCTGTAGTGGTCATTCCAGTAAAACATTATGCAGAACATACAATTGTTATTTGAAGTTATGAGGTTAGAGAAGAAGATCAACTCTAACATGGATTTGTAGCTTTACCTTGGGGGTTTTTTTGCGGGGGGTGGGGATGAGTTACAAATAATGAGCAGGTAAGTTTCAGTGGAGAAGGCAAGCATGCCATGGGAAACTGGATTTCCAAGAAGATAAGAAGGACCAAAAAAGACCTCAATGAACTCCTTAAGTGAAGCCACAGACCTGATTTTTGAACTGCTAAGCAGGGATTTTGTGGAAAGTTCATCCTCAAGGGCTCTCTTCCTTAGGCTACCCTAAGTCAGAGATTACTTGATGGCACATAGAACCAACAAAATATACTTCCACAAAGACACCCCGAGGTATTCACATTTTTCTTTAATTCCACCTATAATCCACCTGCTCAGACATCAAACTTTTTACAACCCTTCCCTCATTGAGCAAGTACAGGTGGCGATTCATCCATCTAATATGGCAACCCTGGTCATTGACTGTCAAATGGTGAGGAAAATATGCTTACATGAACTTGCTCTCATTTCCATGAGATGAGTATGTAATAATAACATTTTTAAAACTTCCCAATAGAATAAATGTATGTGATTTTCAAGTACCTGGTTCCCTACAGCCATATCCCTCAGACCCTTAAAACAAAATTATGTCATGTTGATCCTGCAGTTCATACTGAGAAGGAGCCTTTTATCTTTACTGGGGCTTCCTGTCCAGTGATGGTATCTTGAACACGTCCCCCTACACCCATTCTTTTACCAGTAGTCTACAATTCCATCAGTACAGCTAGATAAAACAAAAACCACAAAAGGAACAAAGAACAAAAGGGCCAGTACAATATTTCACAACTATTGCTTTCAAGACAATCCTATGCATTTTAGAGAGGAAAAAAGTCCATCAGCAGCATCCCCCAAGTGATCAACTCAGGAGCGAGAATGCCATGAGCTGGGAGCAATTTCCTTTCAGAACATGTATACAATTGCACCTGAACTGTGCGAAAACCTGGATCCAGCCAATACATGCATAGCCATGTTTGTTCTTGGTAGATACTCCTGGAAGTTCTCAGGGCAATGCTTTCAAAGGTGAGATTCTTGGTGATGCATAATCTGCTTTCAGTGATTCATATATCCGTTTCCTAAAAAGGAATGCTTCTCTTTCCCTGCAAGCTACTTGCATATTGTGAATGAGAATATCACATCTCTTGTACCATTTGATTGTCTTTGTCTCTTGTTTAGCTGCACTCAATGATTCAGAAGATCTCATTCAACAACAGTGCAGGCGAGGAAGTTGCCTTTAATAAACATGGAAAATTCGAAGGGGGATTTGATATTACCAACTTGGTCACTTTCCCTAATCAGTCCTATGTCAGGGTCAAAGTGGGAAGCATGGACCATGATGTTCTTCCAGGCAAAGGATTCACCATTAATGAGGACAGAATTGAATGGCACAGACAATTGAAGCAGGTGGGAAATAAGGGCATTTCTTTTTTTCCTCAGTTTTTAAAAATATTAATATTAATGAGAAACTGTTACAAAAGAATACAAATGCAAACGCACCATGAAATAGAAGAAAAAACAACTGAAAGAAGCCAAAAAATCTAAACACACACATTAGTACACCCCTGCACTGGGACCATGACTGAAAATATTTTTTCTTTCTTCTTCTTTGCTTCTTGCTCTAACTCTCCACTCTTTCAGGGATACCCCACTTCCACCAACAAAACACTGAATCAGCTGAAAGTTTAAAACCCTTCCCTTCTCTTAGTACATATTCAGTAGAGAAACCCCATATATCAATAAAAACATTCCTCTTTCTTTTCTTAATCCTTTTTTTCACCCTAATACCACATGTCAACTTATCATTAGCCAATGTATTCAAAACTTGTTAATACCAGCCAATTAACTGAAGATCCCATTTGCCTTTCCTATTCTTTGCCATTATCAGTTTTGCTGCTACTACCAAATCTTTTCTTTCTTTGCATTTTCATGTCCTTTCATAAATTCTGTTTCTGGATCTGCTTCAATTTATTATCCATATAGAATCGTTTTACCAGCATCAGGTACCATTTCTTACTAATTTAGAAATATTTTCCTTAATTGTAATTGACATACATTTTAATATTCTCTTTTCACATATTTCCCCATACTTCCCTGTCTATATCCTTCCCTAAATCCATTTTCCATGAGATTTTATAATTATCATATATTTGTCCTACCTGTCCAGTAAAATCTTATAAATCTCAGTTTTAATTGCCCTTTTTGACACAGTACCGTGACTCTCCATATACGTCACAGTGTCATCAAAATTGGTGTGGTCTCTACATTTACCCTTTTTCTTCAACCATTCCCCACTCTATTTTTCCAATTGCATAACATTAACCTAGGTCAGTTTTATTTTCCAAAACACTTTTCTTATCATGCCCTTTCTCCATCCAATATTTCACCATAAATATTTGATTTTCTTTTAATATATTTCTCAAGCTGTCTCTCAGTTTTTCTTGGAATTCCCTAATTTCCATCACTGAAATTTTTGGTGAGAGTTAGCATAAATTCTTCCCTGTACTTATTCCAAACTCACACCATACTTTTTAAAAAGGGGTTTTCTAATTCTATTACAAACTTATCATCCAAAAAAGCTTAAAGGAGATCCCTCAATTTGCCCTTGTTCTTTCTCTGGCCCTATTATCTTAATAGGTTGCAATATGATTTTTGATGTAACTCTTAATTGATTAACTTCATCATATAATTTAATGTTTGGAAAACCCTATTGTTGTTTTTTATACCATCTGTTCTCACTAATCATTGTTTTCTTACCTCCATTTTGAAATTTATTATTTTGCACTGGGAAATCGATTATTCACTATCTTGGCCCTTCCTGGTCATTGAAAAAGTCCTTGATTTGCAATGACTTCCTCAAATGTCTCCTTTGCATGACTTGCCTCCAATATTTTCAAACAGGTGCCTCCTGTTTCTTCCTGTAATGGAAAATGCCCCCCTGGTTCCAGCAAGAAAAAGCAGGAGGGGAAGCCATTTTGCTGCTACGATTGTGCTACATGTCCAGATGGGATGTTTTCAAACCAGAAAGGTAGGGCATAGATCAAAAGCAATGCATGTTACAGCAAAAGGGAAGACATTCACTGAAAGGTTGTTTGCCAGCATTTATGTAGATCTTGCTTCCTTGCTTAACTGTTCTCCGTCACCATGTATATCCACATATAAAAAGTTTGGAAATGAGAAAGAGGAACAAGGAATAGAAAACAAGAAACTAACTTATGAACAGAAGCGCAAAGGATACATTTGATTTAGGAGAGGTTGGAAAGATTGATCATAACAACCCATATTATCCCAATGATTTGTCAATCTCCCAAAGAGGTCTTCTCTCGTTTCATGGCATTATACTTTAAAGGATGGCTAAAGATAAGCAAATACCCATTCTGAAAGTAGAAGGAAATTGCTTCTTTAAAAGCCTCTTTGGCACATGCATAATATTGCAGATAGGAGAAACTAGGACATGGGACCTTCTGGACAGGCTATTCTTAAATCAGAGGGGTGTGGGAGCTCTTCTTCATCAATTCTTCTATGTTTTTCAGATATGGAAACCTGTGTCCATTGCCCAGGGCACCAATATCCAAACCAATTTCAGAATCAGTGCATTCCAAAGACTCCAAACTTCCTTGCTTTTGAAGACACCTTGGCCATTATTTTGAATTCTGCTCTTCTTTCATTGTCTCTGATCACAGCTCTGGTGCTGGGCCTCTTCTTCTGGCACAGGGACACTGCCATTGTCAAGGCAAACAATCGAAGGCTCACCTGCATTCTCCTCATCTCCCTTCTTTTGTGTTTCCTCTGCTCTTTGCTTTTCATGGGAATGCCCAATACAATGTCCTGCCTGCTGCGACAAACTGCTTTTGGCATGGTCTTCTCTGTGTCTCTCTCCACCATCTTGGCAAAAACGGTTTCTGTGGTGCTGGCATTCATGGCTACCAGACCAGGATCCCAGATGAGGAAGTGGGTGGGGAGAAGACTGTCACATTCCATTGTGCTCTGCTGCTCCAACATTCAGGCAGGGATCTGTATTCTGTGGCTTACAACGTCATCTCCTTTCCCAGATGTGGACATGCACCCCATGACTGATGAAATTGTTCTGCTCTGTAATGAAGGCTCAATCCTCATGTTGTCTTGTGTCTTGGGCTTCCTGGGCCTCCTGTCTTCAGTCAGCTTTCTGTTGGCCTTCCTGGCCAGGAAGTTGCCAGACAGTTTTAATGAAGCCAAGTTCATCACCTTCAGCATGCTGGTCTTCTGCAGTGTGTGGTTGTCCTTTGTCCCAACATACCTGAGCACCCAAGGAAAGTACATCGTGGCTGTGGAGATTTTCTCCATCTTGGCCTCCAGTGCTGGCTTGCTGTTCTGCATATTTTCCCCCAAGTGCTACATTCTTCTGTTCAGACCAGACTTGAACAACAGAGAGCAGATAATGCGTAAACCATGTAGATAGTGCAGTGGTCCTTTGTTTCTCAATTTTCTCTATATCTTCTGAAAGAAATTATAAATTATATCATATAATTTCATGGGATTTCGCCTATTTTCCTTTCTCAGTCTAGATATTCCTCTCACTTACTGAAATACTGAAACTATTTTTTAGTTCTTCAATTCTACTTGGAGTGAATGTATTCCTTTTTCTTTGGTTGTGTGCATCGTTCTTTTTTAGAGAAATGTACTCAATGATTTTCAATGTCTTCCATTTCTGAGGAATAAATGCTCCATTAGGAATGGGATATTTGAAGAATTAGGTTCTTGAAAGAAAGTGCATCCCATTCGTAAGAACACATGCTATTTCAAGTCTGGCTGAGCTCACCCAAAACTAGTGCTAGTTCATACCTTGGTCCAATGTAAGTTCAAAGGTGCATCTTTGCTGTGCAGTGTGGCAGACAATAAAAATTACCAGCCAGGATCTTAATCACTTTTATCAGTGAGTTATGCAAACCTAATCTAATCCTAATTATTTTGTATTAATTTTATTTATAGCCCTCCTTTTTCTCTTTCAAGAAACTCATGGCAGCCTACGTAATTCTCCTCCTTCTTTCAATATTATCCTCACCAGAACAACATTCCTCTGAGAGTCTGAGAGTTTGACTGGCCCAAAATGAGCCAGTTATCTCCATTGCTGAGTGGGGATTAGAAGCCAGATTTCCTGAGACCCAATCCTGCAGTCATTCCCACAACACCACACCAACTCTCCAAGTACGCTATGTTTCAGTGGAACAGTCACTGAAGTTGTGTCATGGAGTTTGAAAACTGCTGAAGTGTTTATCTCTGATTGTTGTTGTTTAGTCTCAAAGTCAAGTCTGCCTCTTCATAACCCCACAGGAATTAGATCTCCATGCTCTTCTGTTCTACACTGTTTCCCAGAGTCTGTCTAAGCTCACACCCTCTGCACCAATGACCCCATTCCTTCCATCCCTTTCTCCTTTTGCTTGGAAGCATCAGGATCTTTCTCATAAAATTACCATATATAATCAATTGTTATAATTATAGAATTGCTATAATTCATTCAACTGCTTAAGCAGCATACCAGGGGAAGTGGGGACTTCAGGGGACCCTGCAATATTTAAAGTTTTCCCATGGGGCAATGGAGTCCTGAGATTTAGGAGAAGACTGAGGCAAATATTTGTCATTTTGATCACCTTCCCTTTTGATCATTTTCACTAGAAACTTCTAGCTTTAAACAAGGATTCCAAAATTTGCTTCCGATGCAAAATGTCGATGCATTTTTGTAGTTAGCAACAGCTGTCCCCACAGCTGCATTCACAACCATACTCCTCTGCAACCCACCATCTTCAAGTCACTCTGACTATAATCATGTTGTGGATTTAGGGCAAGACATAGAATGCTCCATGTGTGGGAAGATTTTGCTAGTAAAATGATGCTTCTTCTTCAGCTGCTGCTGTTTTCAATTGTGGTTTGGAAAGTGTATACTGCGGAATGATCTGGAAATGAGCCCATATATATTCCTCACAACTGGTACAAGCCAGGAGATTTCCTCACTGGGGGGATGGCATCCTTTCTACATTACTATCCCCTCAGAAACAGATTCATCAGACACCCTTCTCAGGGAAAGATTAACATCCCATGGTAACTCATTTTCTATTCAAGGCCACCCCAAAATTCTCTTAAGCTATATTGAGTAGCCTTTTATTTATAAATGACTGTCTGCATATATGGATAGCTTTTGGGAAAGAGTAGATTTTCAGTGTTAAAATAAATATACAGGTGAGCTTTGTTGTGAGAAGCTCTGCCTTCTTTTCTGAGAATCCAGTAGTGTGCACAAATCTAAAGAAAGAATTGAGCAAATAAAACCCCCTGCAGTTCCTTATTCCAAAAAGATTTATATTGCCCTTGACTTGCTGGCTTATCTCTCTACATATCCCCAATCTGATGATTCTTTCAGTGCTAGCTAAAGTAGACATGTATGATAACATGATTTTATTGTACCCTTTACTTTTTCTGTGAAACTGTATGCCATTCTTTAATTTTTTGCAGGGTGATGACTAAGTTCTACCAACACATTTTGGCTTTCATATTTGCCATTGACAAGGTCAATGAGGACCCCAGCATCTTGCCCAGCATCACCCTCAGCTTCCACATTCGGGAAAGCTACACTG